CCCACAAGAACTGGTAGGGAGGAACTGAATTATTCAAACAGTGATATCAGGGGCTTTTGAATGAAACAGAGAGTTCTTCCTTCCAGACCGCTATTCCAAAGTTGGAGAAATACTAGGAACAAGCAGTCAGATCTTTGCTCTAGAGAAGACACAGGCCACCGGCAATGTAGCGCAGCAGGGAATGTCTGTAAAAAAGAGATGACGGAGGAGTCTTATACGGGATGGGAGGAAGGCCCATCTCCTACTGTATGCAATATGTTCCTCAGTGTAGGAAGAGAAAAGCCTTCTGCACTGTACAGTCTGCTAGGATAGAGCGACTTTATTATTTTTCTGATGAAACATTGTAATTGTATTATCAAAAGTCCTTTGACTTCTCATAAAATTCTTCAGAGCCGACAGTGCTTTCAATCTCAGACTCTTCCGGAAACATTTAGTTCAGACCCTTCTTTTGTCATGAATCTCACTCAAAGACTTTCAAACATTGTCATTGCCTTCAGCCCAGACTTTTGGGACCTGATAGTTTTGTTATTTCGAAATTCATATTTGTTCAAGATCCTATACATTTCTAAACCAATGACTTAAATTTTAAAATAAGTTGAAGAAAGCAGATGAAATAGGTACAAATTATGAAAATTATTCATGTGACTTCTGAAACAGTGCCCTTGGACATCCTGTTCTTGCATAGCAGGTTATTTTCCAGAGTGCGCACTACTCTTTTTTGACCTCGCTGTGTGTTAAATACAACAGAAAATACAGTTTTGTATAAGGTTGGCATGTAAGAGAATGTCGAATAAAATCTGGTTAAGATAACTTTCCTTTGGAGATGCGATGTAGGAACTGAAGCAGTAACTCTCATGGTTTAGGTTTATCCTACTATTGATATTGTTCAGCTTTAAATCAATAGAACTATCAATATGATCTTTGAAAAATCACTGCTTGTGAAATACAGGTTTCATCCTTAGCTATATCTACAATTTATTGAGGCACAAAGTGACTGAATACATAGGGAGTATCCAAACAATGATTGTTACCAGTTGTAAACATGAACTAATTTGTAGCAGCTGATTACTCATATGTCTTGCTTGTCAAAATCTGACATGGTCTTTTTTGGACAGAAGGCCAAGGAAGAAGACTTTTGTGCAATGTGGTCAAATGTCCTTGAATTACTTTACTAGGATAAACATTTCCTGATTTTTTCCTCCATTTTTAATGCTGTGCTATTTATACTGTTATGATTAATGGTGTTTCAGTGTTCATATTTACCTTTTAAATCTTTTTTTTTTCAAAATGACTATGCTATTATTCCCCTTCATGGATCACTGCCTTGTCGTGGCGAAGGGGCTTGCGTAACTCAGTGAA